GGTCTGAATAATTTTTGGTTTGACTGTATATCCTTCTGTTATTTTCACACTTAGTTATGCCCATTAAAATGTATTTTACAAGTTTTTGTTACTTTTACTGTTCATTTTTTTGCTCTATGGTACATCATCTTTAATTTAATAGCATTATTGCAGCGGCTTAGTACTTTAATCACGCGCTTTGCTGTAATAATGCAGGGAACCTCGTTATAAATCTCCTAACTGTGATATTTTCAGAAATAGAAGTCGCCTTTTTTTTTTCCATCTGAAACGTGCTGCGATTTATATTCCAAAGCCACTCATATAATGCAGAAACACTCAAGCAAGCAAAACACGCGCAACGCATGCACGTACTTGTACTGGTGCAGAATGAGAGGACAAGTAGTACAGACTAGCGCATTTCACACAGGCTGCTAGATTCACTTTCGCCAGAAAGTCGTGTATGCCTAAAGTTGAAAATAAATGATGCCCCTATGAATGGTTTTATTTGTACGATTTCGTTTTAATTCAAATGATGCGTGTGCTCAGTGAGTGAACATCAAAGATCACACAACAGAAGTGCGCGCGCTCGCGCACTCTCTCTCTCTCTCTCTCTCTCTCTCTCTCTCCCTACCGTTAAGTAACTTGTGCATTGTTTTACTTACTTGTTTTTGACGTATCCGACCGAACTACAAACTTTCCAGTGATGTCTATGAGAAAGGTATATTCACTCGACAAGTTTGCGCATGTGCGCCGCCGCGAGCTCAACCCACTCTGTGTGCTTTGCTTATCAGCTCGCGTACATCAGCTATACAGGCGTTAATACTGAATTTTAACATTATATTCATTGCATACATATACTTCGTAGACATCCTTAATCTCTAATAACGCCATTCTGCTGTCTTTTGTTCTGTTGTCGGGTGTTTCTTTGTCTGAAAATGGCACTTATCACATGCTGTGTGGTATCAGCGTTTGGTATCGGGGCATTTTAACGAGTACAGGAGCTCAGTATCGGGCCCGATACCGATACCAGTATCGGTGCATCCCTACTAATTAATATTAGGGCTTATTTGTTCCATCATATTTCTTTTTCCACATTTTTACAGTGTTGCGCGTTATAACTAATCACACACGATTCTGTTGAGTTTATGAATGCAATGGCCAATCAGAGGCATTCAGATCATCAGAGTTCAGAGTCATTGCTGAAACACCGGAGTTTTGTTGTGCAGATGTACCTATGATGTAAGTATAAGAGATTTATTCATCATACAGTGTAGACAGCTTGATTATAACGCGAGTTTAAAGTGCATAATCTCATGCTAGACTGAAGTCAGTGATGATGCTCTTTGATAATGTTAATGTTCTTTGCTCGTTTTCTGTTGCCGCTGTTTGAATAACTGAGGAAACATAAGCATTATAATTAGTAACTTGCAATGTTTCTATTAAACAGTTATGTTAAATACATATTCAGTCATATTAAAAATATTTTATGACATGGCATCCATATGCTACTTTACTAAAAAGATATAATGTAATGTGAAGGCTAGTTAATAGATTACACTAACATTATAGGCTGCTTTTGGCCTTGCCCTGGAGTTGGTTCACACTCCGGCTATGAAACGAAGTAAGTAAATAATTTAATAAATTAGCATGAAAATATCATGTATCAGCGATCTCACAGGCTGACGATATGACGATATGGAGCATATCTTCCAACACTAATCCACATATCAACACCTTAGCAACAGAATTCCTTATCAACTACACAGCAACAGCTTAAAACCATTCAGAATGTCTTTGCAACCACATAATAACATACCAGGACACCCTAGCAACTAAATAGCAGCTTAAAACCACTCAGAATGATTTAGCATCCA